GACATTGACATCGTTCAACGAACAAAGAAACAGCGTCTACGATGGCTAGGTCAAGTGAAAGCTTTGAAAGTTTTCGATGTAGTACTTGCCGTTGGAAACAGAGGAAGAAGAAAAACCTCCACTCCAGTGGGAAGTCCATGTGGAGGAGGACCTGGCTATACTTGATTCCTCCGACTGGCGTCAATCGTCCAAATAAAGAAACGAATGGCGGGCTGTTCTTTGCTTGGCTATAATCGCAGTTAGCGCTGTTTGTTCGAGTAAAAAAAGGAAGTCCGTATGGCGACATTTGAATTTAGCAATAAAATCTTCGAGCGGGAGACAACCGTCAAACCTATTTCAAGAAACATTTGTACAAACAAGGTAAAAATAATAGACCAACTGGTCAGCTAAATAGTCGATTCTGGAACCTTAGACATCTTACTTACTCGTATATTCATAGTTTTCTTGAGGTGGTGTATTTATTAAACCCTGATGTATGTGTGTAAGTACCAAAAAGGGAAAAGTTAGATCCTTCAAAACTTATACCGATTTCAAGATAATGACGAACTGAGTTGATTCAGTCCCTCTGTCTGTTCGTCTCTTCGAACGTGAACAAGCATCTCAGTTATTGAGATATTTGATCTAAACTTTGTAAGCAGTCGTACTTTGTATTGATAGTTCTTTTGGAGCCGGCATGATCACTCGACTATGTCATCATAATCTCTTAACCGATTTTCAGATGAGATAGTTAATATTTAATACCGAATTCCAAAGCGAAGAATTTTGAATGTTCATGAAAGGTACATATAAAGAATTCGACATGGCCGAGGACAGCATTTCTATCTGCTCTTCAAGCGCTTAATAAGAAAAATCCTTTAAAAGCAAAGAAAAAAATAAAAACAAAAAAATGTCTACCTTTGCCTTTATTTGTAAATGCAGCACATTACAACTGCAACAGCTACTGAGCTACTTAAGGAGCACACAACAATTTAGTAGTCCAAATACATGTCAACATTACCATGCTCCACAAGCCACAAATGCCATTTTACTATGAGATTTTGAGTGGAAATCAAAAATGGAACGTGACTTTTTTGGAACACGCAACTTCAAGAAGAACGTGCGAATTTTACTCAAAGAGCATGCAACAATTGCGTTTCCAACGCCATCCAAGCCCAGACTGCTAAAGGTGAGGTGAGCTGAGTTGCTGCAGTTGAAGCTATGGGAGACAGAAAGACCGAAGCGAAAAACTTTGAATGCGAGATCTCTTTTAGGATTTCGTACAAAACACACTTTAAATAGAGTTCGCAGAGCAAATTGAGCCCGAAGTGGCAAGACGAAAGGAACCTTTTCCAAAGAAACTAAAAGAAGCCCAAACCGTTGACCGCATCTGGGCAGTCAGGTGGAATTGCACCATTGGCAAAATAAGCAGACCAGAAAGATGAGTCTGCACACGATGGACCTTCGACGCACGGCCAGATTTTCAGAGGAATGAGACAGACGAAACTCACATCCTCCTCACGTGTGTTTAAATACAAGCATGAGTGTGAGTCCGAGTCTGTAAGCAAGCACTTTTGCAGTGATGTGTATGTGTTTTTTTTTTTTTTTTTTTTTGGGATGACGCCCGAGAAGAGGAAACTCTCATGAGTACTGTTATACCGGCATAACAGTATGCACGACTTGCAACCTCACAGTTGCACCTACGTACTAAATACCTCTCCACTAACTACCACTCTCCCCGCGGAACTATCAATGAAGTATTACTTCGCGGGGCTGGTAAGCGCTATGGCTCTCACTCGTCACTGAATTTTGCATCTTAAATAGCTGTTGAGGCCAAGTCTCCAGTCTATCTTCTTTTACAGTGGGCGAAAAGTCCTAGTTTCCGCTCCACTCTACTATTATGCTACTAAGCGTGGTCGGAAAGAACGAGTTTCCGATCCAAGCTGGCATGACATCTTCTACACATTAAGTTAATTAAATAGCTGGGGCCAAGTCCCCAGTTTATCTTCTTTTACAGTGGGCGAAAAGTCCTAGTTTCCGCTCCACTCTGCTATTATGCTACTAAGCGTGGTCGGAAAGAACGAGTTTCCGATCCAAGCTGGCATGCCATCTTCTACATTAGGCTGCGTGATCTATGATCATCTACCCTAAGACGCTTCATTACTTCTACTATAATCTCTGCGCATCTATTCCATGTACATTCTTTAAGAATCATTGCCTCTAATAGGCTTTCCGGCGTCAATGTGCCTCTTATACATTGTATGAGCTCCTTGCGCTCATTTTCAAATCGGCTGCAGTATAAAAGAATATGCTCTGCGTCTTCTATCTCTTCACTGCAATACAAACAATAAGGGGTGTCTGCATGCGTGTATTTATGCAAATATTGCCTAAAGCAGCCATGCCCTGTGAGGAACTGCGTGAGATAATAATCAGTTTCACCGTGCTGTCTTTCGATCCATTTGCTTACATTTGGGATCAGCTTTTTCGTCTATCTTCCTTTCGAAGACGAATCCCACCTTTGCTGCCACTGGTTTATGCATTGTTGCATGACTTCTTTTCGCTTAGTAGGGTTGTGTCTAACTTCCGAAGCGGCTCTGGCTGCTATATCTACTGGCCATCTTCCAGCCAACAGGTTTGCGGCTTCGTCTGACACTGTTACAAACGCACTACATACTCTTAGCGACGCCAATCTATGTACCGCAGCTGGTGCTCTAAGATACGCCGGTACCAAAGTGGCATCTGCCCAGATTGGTGCCGCATACATTAGAATAGACGAACTGATGCTCGCAAGTAATTTTCTTCTCTGTTGCCTGGGGCCTCTTATATTGGGCATGAGTCTTGCAACAGCCGCACCGACCTTACCTGCTTTTCGGCTGGCGTATTTCAAATGTTCCTTGAAGCTAAGTCGGCGGTCCAGAATGACTCCGAGGTATTTAATTGTTGGCCTGGATTCTATTATGCAGCCACCTACTCTCACTTGTATGGCCTCTACCTTTTTCCGGCTGGTCATTAGCAGGGCCTCTGTTTTGTGGTCTGCTAATTCCAGTTTTGCCGCTAGAAGCCATGCTTTCACGGACGCTATAGTTTCGTTGCATCTTCGTGTTGCGTCAGACAGTTGTTTTGCTACCACTACAATAGCTATGTCATCAGCATAGCCGACGATGGATACACCCTCTGGTTTTCTTACTTTAAAAATGCCATCGTACATTATATTCCACAGCAGCGGTCCAAGGACCGATCCCTGTGGCACGCCCGCTGTTATTTTATACTTCATGGGGCCTTCGTTTGTGTCATACAGTAGCACTCTTTCGCTAAAGTAGCTCCTGATTACACGTATTAAATAGTCCGGAACATTCATATTTCTTGTTGCCGTTATTATTTGTTGCCAGTTGGCAGAATTAAACGCGTTTTTCACATCTAGAGTGATAATGGCGCAGTACTGCTTTGTCCCTTCAAACCATCTTTTGCCTTCGAGAGCTTTGCGAGCTATGTCACAAACAGCAGCTATTGAGTCGATTGTAGAACGCTTTCTTCTAAACCCGTACTGCCAAGTGGACAGCCCATGATCTCCTTCAGTAATTTCTTGAATCCGTGAACTCAGGATTGCCTCCAATAGTTTGCCTGCTGTGTCTAACATACACAGAGGCCTGTGTGCCGATGGCTCTTCTGGTGGCATTTTACCTTTGGGGAGTAGGACTAGCCGTTGCCGCTTCCATCGTTTTGGGAAAATACCATCTTGCACACACTTTGTGAATAAGTTAGTGAAGAGTTCTGGCCGTTTCTTAGCAACGTACATGAGGACAACATTTGGGACTCCGTCAACGCCTGGGGATTTGTTTGACTTAATCCTTGCTACCGCTGCAAGCACCTCGGCATTGCTAACAGGTGGTATTTCTGCAACATCCACTGCTGTTTCGTTTGGTACTATATACTCATCATGTTTTGGGAATAACCCCTCGACGATGTGTTTCATAATTTGAGGACACACTGGTTGTTTAGCGTTACTCCCTTTTAATTTCTTGAGTACAACGTTATATCCGCTACCCCATGGATTATCATCGACGTCCCTTATCAGTTCTTGAAAGGCCTCCCGTTTGCTTTTCTTGATAGCTTTTTGAAGCTCATCACGCTTGCTCCTATATAAGAGTTGAAGCCGTAAGTATTCAGGATTACTCCTCGCCCTTTGCCTTTGATATTGTCGCCGAAGCTTAAGGCTCTGAGCGCGCAGCTCCCTTATTTCTTGGTTCCACCAATAAACTGGAGCTCTTCCGTTTCCCCTTGTTTTTCTTGGCATTGATGCATCACAAATCTCAGTAATGTGATTCATTAACACATTAGCCCATTTATCTGCGTTAACGTATGTACCTACAGTAAATAAGTCTGGCAGAAGGTCTGTCATGTAGCTAAGCATACTGCTGTCTAACATTTTTGTTTTCCAACCACTTTTTTGGACTTTTGGAACTCTGTTTTTCTTCGCAATGCTCCGGGGCGGGTGTACCACAAAAGAAATTGCAAAATGGTCACTATACGTAAAATCGTCCAGTATTTCCCATTTGATGAGATCAAGGAGCGCGGCGCTGCAGAAGGTCAAATCAATGATTGACCCTGCGTTTCCTTTTTGATACGTGTTTTTCCTCCCTTGGTTGAGTACCACTATATCGAGGTTAATGAAGGCTTCAAGTAGCGCTTGTCCGCGCGCAGTTGTCTTTGAGCTACCCCATTCCACCGCCCATGCGTTGAGGTCTCCAGCAATAATGACCGGTGATTTTCCGGCAGCATCACTAACTAGTCGCATTAACATGTTTTTGAAACCTTCCAGTGGCTCACTTGGTGGGGCGTAGCAGCTGTAGAAGTGAACCCTCCCAATTTTTGCGTGTGTGAATCCTTCATGCTGGCTTGAACCGATTTGTTCAAACGGGACATCTCCACATGCCCAGATTGCAGCTTTTCCCCGTTTATCCTGCAGCCAGCTTCCCTCCCCTGTGGGTGAACGGTACTGTTCACTGATTAATGCAACGTGTATGTGTGTGTGTGTGTGTGTGTGTGTGTGTGTGTGGTGTGTGTGTGTGTGTGTTTGTGTGTGTTTGAGTAGTGGGTGGATGGGTCTGTGGCAATTTGCCAACAGCATCTGCATTTTTTCATCGTTTTTGTTTGCAAATGATTCGTTAGCCTCACACCGGAACCTGCTCACGCTCCACCTCCCCCTCCCCCTCCTCAACCGTATGTTGCAAGCGGCGACGTGTGCTGCTTTTCATTTCCGGTTGCATATTTGGCCTCATACACATTTACATGCAGTTAGACAACCTGGCGCCCTCCGCTGCCACACCAAGAGGTTGCATGCAAGTGTGTGTGTGTATGAGTGTGCAACACAATGTCGCAAGCGAGTGATTGATTACGTTCGATTCACATTGATTTGCTGCATTGATTTCAGAAACAAACACTTCGTTGCAAGTACTAGGAGCGCACAGACGCCGCATCCACATGAGACTATATACGTACATATACGTGTATATAAGTATGAATGTGTTGCATGTTGCAAGCAGCGCAATTTGTTTGCCTTGAATACACAAGCACATTTTGTATTTAAGTTTCATTTCCACACACTAACAGAGTTGTATGCGGTATGTATGTGTGTATATGTGCACGAGGGGGATGGATGTTGTTTGTGTTTGCATTTCGTGTTGCATGAGTCAACAATAATTTCAACTCTTGCAGTTTGAGGGAAATTGAAAATCAAATGTGAACATTTTAAGTAAACATTGCTATCGGCGCTGATGGCAGCAACAGCTACACCAACAACTGCTACAACAGCAACAGCGCCACAATATGCCAACCTGTTACCAACCAACCGCCACCCGCCATCCGCCACCGGCTACCTCCCGCCCTGGCAGCGTCACTAACTGTGCTTAAAACTGATTTTTCCTCATATTTCCATCGTTCGGTTGCAGTTCTGCCGTTGCTTTAATGTAGGTGTTCTTGTTTGTATAACTGTGTAAACGTGTGAATTTTTCACTCAAATCACAAAGTGCATCATTTTAACTTTTCACCATATGAAACTTGCAACTGCAACATTGATTTTGATTTTGATTTGGATTTTCAGCACTCTCCGTCAAGTTCTGCTCTTGCTTGGTGAATTTAAGTAGCTATAACAATAAAAACTACAACAAAAATAATAACAAAAAGAACATAAACAACAGTAACAAAAACAATGACGATAACAAAGAACAATCATGGCAATGATCTGATTTGAAATCATGAAATGTGTTGAACACAACTGTGAATTGAGCCAGCAAAGTGTAGCAAATCGAAAGGAAATCAATGAAAACGACATATGAGTGCCTACGCTCACCGGCAGGCGAAAGCATAAAAGGTAAAATAAACTGAGATTTCAATGAAAAAAATCATTAGGGATGCTCTACGAAGAACAGCTCTTCCAGCTATTAATATTCTTGTGGAGATTCGTTCTGCGCCAAACCGTTGCACGGGAGATTCGATTAGTCCGCGCTCAAGCTATGCGCGAAGAAGTCACACCTGAAACAGCCTGGATACTCGCTCACTCACTCACCGTTGCATTGCGCTTTCATCACCTGTTCTGACCATCCGTACATGTAATTGCGCAAAACACTGGATTCGCTGGAACTTACCTGAAAAGATACAGAAAAGGGAGATATTTAGTAAAGTCGCATGTATGTAGATGTTTATGTTAATACTAATATAAGTGTAGTACAAACAGCTTAATCACTTTTTAAACATTCCCTTTATATCTGCCGTTCTTTAGCACTCCTCACTTGTTCCCCAGCTCAAGCCATCCGTTGGAGTTTTTGACAGCTCCGCCGGAACCCTTTATTCATCACCTCGCGACAGGGTGGCCCGTCGCGCTTATGACACCTTAACTGACATGTTAGTAATTTAATTTGACATTTTATTGTTGCTGCTAATTTGGCATGCAAATGTGTTATTTCCACGTCCTCAGTCCTCTCCTCTGCGCACGCTTTGCGGATTTTTTAGTTATTTCTTTTCGTTTTCGCTTGCACAAGCTTAAATTCATGAAACTGCCATATTCAATTTGTCAAACACCAGTGGCCACAACAACAACAACAACAATAAGAACAACAACAACAACTGACTGGACAGCCAGAGTTGAGAAAAAGTTGAGAAATGGACACAACTAAAAATGAAGTGTTAAGTAACACGTCAACTGCTCATTTGGCCCAAACCTGACCGCGCCGCGCGCCTTGTCCAGCGAATGTGTTGTCAGTAGCAAAGTGACGCGGTGAACGATGGAATGGAGGTGGGGTGTGCCTCACGGCAGGTTGTCTGCGCACTTGCCTGTGTGTGCTCGCTTCACGGAGGCGAGCGTGTGGTCGCAGCACAAAGGCATCAGTCCGTCAGTCAGCTGGACGCCATTTGAAACTTACCTGTCATAAATTCATGTTATTGCCTCGCACTCCTCAACAATCGCACCCGCCGAGATTTGAAGTTAATCCGACAAGACACGCAGGAACACAAAACGCTTGGCCAAGCAAACGGAGGCCAACTGATGAACACACCCACTACTGGCCTTGAGGAGATTGACCATTTTGTGTATATGTATGTGAGTGTGTGTGTGTGTGTAAGTGTGAGTGAGCGCGACTTGTTTGCTCGGCATCTAGAATGGCAACAAAGTGTGTTGACAACATTATAATTATCCACACTTGTGAAACACTTTTCTCCTGTCACGACCTTTACCGCTTTACCTCTTCTGCCCACACCTAATAAGACTCGCACACACACATGCAGCCAATTTGTTCACCTTAAATGGCTGCAATTATTTTCCCAAACCCTGGCAGGGATGTATTTTTGTTTAAGGGAAATTAACAATTATTTTCGCTTATTCCGTCTGAATTCATATCGCAGTTGATCAGGTTTTTCTGCGCACATGTATAACTGTAAATATTTGTATGAATGTTGAGCGGCTTATATGCTGCGAAGAGAGGGGACTTGCGTGTCGCTATATTATTTGTCCGCTTATTTGCATTTCATTTATTAAAAAAATTATGAAAAAAATTGGAAAAGCTCAACAACTGATAGAAAATTTCCGAAAATATTTGTACAAATGTTTACATGGAAAATGGAATAAATAAATACTTAGATATCTAAATATTAACATTAATTGCTTGGCATTCCAGAGTTAACTGAGCTACAGTAAAACCTGAGTAAGAGAGAAGAGAACTGAGGTTATGAGAGAACTCTATGGGTGAGAATAATTCCAAAAGAGAAGGACAGTGGCCTTTCTTGTTTTGATATCTATAACCGGTAACTTTCCTTAACTGTATCTCCACGTGGGTTGCCTTTTACTCTCGGGAGTTCTGCTGCGCTGGTGTTGTATACAGCAACATAATTCATCTCGGCCAAAAAATGGTTTAAAATGGCAAACATTTTCACGTGAATATTTTTTCTAACTTTCGATCTAAATTAACTCAGGATTAGAGCATCGACGAACTTAACACAAGTTTTGGCGATAAAACGCCGTCAAGAACCAGTGCTTATCGGTGGCATGACGAAATCAACCGAGGTTGTAAACGAATTTCGTAAAGGGACATATAGAAATTGCTCACGTTGGATCCCACACAAATTGCCAACCACTGCGTACTTGAGGAAAGTTGGTTTTCAAGTGCTCAAGATTTAAAGGCTTGTCGGCATAAACACAGTCTGCTGCGTAGCCCCAGAAAAATAATCCGGCGGCGTCAAATCGTAAATCGCACGATCTGTGGTTAACTGACATCACCAATTGCTTGAGTAGTTGGACGATTATGTATACCATCTCATCTTAAAGTAACGTGATCATGTTTGACTCATCCTTTTAGAAGTTGGTTTTTCTCCAAGTTTTGAAACTTCTTCGTTGGACACCACAATAAAATAATAAAAAATATTATTTTTTATGTATGTCGTGTTGCCGCCGACTCGGTTAAATTTTTCAAAGCCAATCACAATTTTCTTAAAGCGTTTCGAAACAACAATGCGCCACCTTCCGGACTTGATGGATTAAAACCTAATTATTGGTTTTCCTTATTTACAACGTAGAAGCACGAAGAAAAAAGGGAAATTAGTTTCAGAGTCGAATTTGGCAAAATACCTATGTAAGTATAATATATTTGGTGCTATTTGACCGCTGAAGCGAATTTCGGCCGAGCTCCTCCTCCTAGGTATGCGACTTCATGTTTCTCTAAGAAATGATGGGACCTACAGTTTATTCTGAGTCGCCTTCGAATGGCCGATGGATTGATTCATGGCAGGTATAAACTCGGAAGGCTTCACATTAATTCAATTTTCCATAATTATGAATGTTGGTTGAGCCAAGAATCGAACTCTGGCACTCGGAATGGCACTACGCAATGCTAACCACCATTTGACTAAAAACTTTGCATAGCAAAGAACAAACCAATGACAAATAAACACACACAAATACATGAATTATCCACACATACACATGTATGTACATATGTAAGTATGTAATTAGTTGAGAGATGAGCCAAGATATCGCATTGGACGAACTAAAAATGATATGCCAAACAAAATTAAAAGAAGCAAAACTAAAACATATGTAAAAAGAGCAGTCAAACAAATCGGAAACGCTAATGGGCAACATCTGTAAGCATCGCGAGCTCCTCTGCGCTTAATACGCGTATGTGTGTATATCTACACACGTCGTGATCGGGCCATGACGGCGGGTGTTTCTGTAACTCTAATTGCCATCATTTGCGCAATCAAAAGAACATCCAAGATGAAGGGCCGTAGCAGCAGAAGAAGTAGCAGAAGAAGAAGCGTTGGATACGCTTGAAAGGCCCGCACGAGCAGATCATCAATTCGTCTCAGCAGCCGCATACCAAGAAACCATGAAAATCTGAAGTTTAGCCGTAGAACAGAGATGCCAAAAGAGCAAGGGGGGGATGCAGGGGAGTCAACGCAGATCTAAAAATGTCAAAAGAAATAAATTTGATGTGACATCGAAGAGATGGTTGCCCGTTTTCGAGGAAGCGTTGGGATGATGACTGGACTGGCAAAAGGATGGTTGAATGGTTTGATAGCCGCCGAAATCGTGGCTTCCTGCCTGATGCAAGCGAGAAGGGTGGGCGTGATTATTTTTAGTGCTCATTAAAAATTTCCTTTCAACTTTTTGTCCAACTGACGACCGCCAGCGTACAGTTTCAAAGAGCAAACAGTTGGGACTTCGAAAGAACGTTGGAAATGGAATCGTTGAATAGAAACGCTTGTTTGATTTCGTTAAGTAAATATGTATATACATATGTAGTATTTGCGTTCAATTTGACAATTTTCACAACTGTAAATTTCGTGTTCACGTCACTTAAATTCTCTTGCTGAAAATTAAAGAAAATTTGTTGTTTTTCATTATGTTATTTAAATATCTTTAATAAAAACTCAATCAAACTGAAGAGCGTTTGGGGCGCTAACGAAAAAAAAATAAATAAAAAAATAAAGAATCCGCATTCGTTTTCGCTTGTCTAAGTGCCACCGATGCATACAGCAATTTACCCCTTCATTAAACGCAGATTTTCTTTACGCTTTTGAAATTTTCTTGGAGCGCATTTTTTAATGTTGCAACTGTTGTATTGACACTCGATGCGAGATGGCCACAAAGCACTATTTGTTCTATTGTAGGAAATATGTATGTATGTGTGTGTGCATGTGTATAACCAAACACAATCGCGCATACAAATGTTTTAAGGCGTTCGTTGTGACCTGTTTCGGTGATTTCACACAGTTTATGGTTCCCGCTAGCAGCATCTGCTTGGTCTGTGCATGCCGCAGCTGTGTAGACATCACCGCGTCGGTCGGTTTGTGTGGCCAACAAAGTAAGCGCAGCTATGCGCCAATGAGCCACACTAACCTATTATTATCGCCACATTTGGCCACAACCTATAATTTATGGATTACACATGCATATACTCGTATGTTTGTATGTGTGTTTCTTCATTTGCGTCTAAATAGCGTTTCTTCCGCTTTATCGCACTCATTTGATTTGATTTTTACACTTGATTCGTAACAAACACAAACAAATATACAAACACATAGTCAAATACATATATATATGTTCCCTACGCACATTTTGTGATTGTTGAGTTAAATTTTCTTTCCTCATTGTCTTAATCGCGGCCACTCAGGCACCCATTCGCCACGACATCAAGAGCACTGGAACAACAACAATCATGATTTGACTGCAACTGAAACCTTGTATCTCATACTCATATTGTATCGGGTAGTATCTGATAGATATGCACATACACGTACATGCATACATATCTGCTGTCGCTGCTCTGCCATCCATACCGCTGGGTGCTGGGTGCTGGGCGTGTACGCGCATTCCCCTCCTTCGCTCGATTGTTTATTTCCCTTTGAGCTGTAATTATTTGCTTTTGCACTTAAAAAGTCTTTTCGCTGCGCCCCAAACGCACTGGCTGAGCGTTGGCTCCAGTGCTTTTATTTATTATATTTTAATGGCTGTTGTTGTTGTTTTTATGTTTTTCAATTAAAAACCGTTGTTTATTTCCTCTTGCTGGCGCACTTAATTGATGGACTGCTAAAGTTGCTAATGTTCATTTGGACTTTTTGTTTTTGCCGTTTTGTTGTTTTGTTGTTTTGTTGTTTTAGTCTGTGAGAACCGATAAATTGACTGGCTGATATGCTCACAAGACACAAGACACAAGACACTCGATTCGTTGTTACCGTGAAGTGGCGTCTTTGCCTACATAATTTACTCAATCGTGTAATTAGTCAAATATGTACATATGTATGTACATACATACATATATATATGTTGTATCTATTTGCTGCTGCCCAAAAATGAGGTCAAATCGACTTTTGAATACTTAGTACACACATACATATGTACTTATATGAGTATCATGAACGATTTTAATTTGTCATTGGCGGAAACCAGTAGAAAAAGACCCAGAATATAGTTCGACTTTAAAATGGATTTGAATTGCGAAGCGGCCTACTTTTGAATCCGAAAAATGTTCATTTTTCTGCTCTACACTTTTCGTATCTTTTCTTAAGATTTCTTAGTCAAGTAAAATTTTAAGCAGATCAATTTAAAAGAACTTTTTAACGCCGACAAGAGCATTTTTTTAACCTTAGAACTTTTGCATAAAGATACGAGTGGAGATGAGGTGAAATACTGGTTTTGGTTTCGAATTATCCACCCCCGAAAATTTTATGCGGAAAATAATTTTGGTGTCCCGTTCGAATGCTATAGATTTTTCTAATTAACTTGAAGACCAAAGGTTGGCGGAAATCAACTTTAGCGCCAATCTGGGTGGCCATTCGTACCAGAGATTGGGAGTTGCAGATTATACCATGTTTTTGACCTAGAAGATTACAACTCCCATAATCCCACCGAAGGTTTTGGTTTCGTCTAGAGTTTTCATAACTTTTTTGCATTCTGCATCCGAAATCGCGCGTACGTATGTACTATATACTCGTGTTCAATACTGTACGAATCTACTTTAAACTTTGTAACTTGATATTTTCAAATTTTCAATTTGTTTTCAATTTCAAATATTTTCATTTTCTGACTTATTATAATTCTCATTTTGAAGCAATTCATATCTTGAAAATATACATACATACATATATTTCTTTTTTAAAATAAAGTACACATTATTTTTTATTAATATGTACATATGTATGTATTTACATACATACATATATATAAGTATATAATATTATTACATATATCCTGCACACATATTCGAAACATTTGACTTACTGAGAATGAAGAGCCGCACGTTTTTGTGCTTGGCATTCATCCAAAGGGAGTTGGTCCAACATAAGCCACTCCAATAAACATAAATCCACACAAAATCCCCAAAACCGGCTAGAGAGCGTCGAAGTTTGCTTTTATCTACACAAAACACAAAAACAACACAAAACAACAGCTGAAATGCATGTCCACCAGATGCAAAAAAAAAAAAAAAAAAAAAAAAAAAAANAAAACAAAAAAAAAAAAATAAGAAAAGAACATAAAAGACTATAAATAAAATCAAATATGACCTCAGTAAATACTTGCAAAAACAACAAAAACAATTGCAATGACAACAGCAAAAGCAGCAGCGCGGCACAGCGCCATCAATGGCAGTGCATTGGGAATCACTTCGGCTTTAGCTTGTTATCGCAGGCCAATGCAACGCGCTGCCTGTATGCCTGAGTGCAAACATATCCGCACATGAACCCTAAAAT